AGATTCACCGCTCTAGGCCGAGGGCTCTAGGCCGAGGGGATGGTAATGTGCCTCGAGATCGAGGGCCCAAGGCTGAGACTAACGCCGAAGGCGAGGAACATGATTAGCGGAGATGTCGCTTCTTCGACTGGGGCTCCTCGAACTCCTCGCCGTCGCTGAGCCTCCCGATTTCATGTTTCTTCGTTGCGATGTCCCCTTCTTCTTTATCGGTGTTCTCCCTGGTGTTTTTCCTTGGGGCATTTTTGATGAATTGGTGGAGCTCACCCCTTTGAATTAAGAGTTCAATAGCCTTCTTTAACGAGACACAATCGTCTGTATTGTGGGAGGTGCTTTTGTGGTAACGGCAATAAGTGCCGCTTTGGTGGATGGCGTAGATCTCCCTCGCCGACCGAGGGTCCTTGGGGAAAAGGTCCTGCTCTTCCGCATAGTTGAGGATATTGCTCACCGGGTGCGTGAGGGGAGTCCTCGGCATGTCCAGCCGAGGGCACATTTGGGGCCGGCGTGTTGTTTATCTTCTTCGAGGGCTGCCCCTCGTTCTTCTTGAAGGAGTGGAGGTCGTCGGCGTCGGCGTATAGGCTCCCCCGCTGGAGTGCTCTGAGGTATGATCTTGGAGGGTCGGTGATGAGGCTCCGTGCGTAGGGGCTGCTGCGGAGAACCCCCTGGAAGAGGACGAGGAGGGTACGCTCGTCGGCGCCCTCGACCTCGTCTGTCTCCTTCATCCACCGGTCAATGAAGGACCGAAGTGTTTCGTCAGGCTGTTGCTTGACGGAGAGGAGCTGGGAGAAGTGCTTTCTCGCGCGCTTCCTTCCGGCAAAATGGGTGAGGAAGCGTTGGGCAAGATCTTGCCAAGAGTCAATGCTGCCCTCGGGCAATCGATTGAACCATTCGTATGCTGGTCCCTCCAAGGTGGAAAGGAACCAACGACATAAGTATTCATCTGATGCCCCCATCATCATCATGCTGTTTTGATACCTGTTGTAGTGCTCCTGGGGGTCAGTTTTTCCTTCATAGGGCTTGATGAGTTGCCCTCGGTACTTTTCCGGGATTTGGGCCGCCAATACCCTTGGGGTGAATGGCGTCCGGGTCCGGAGCTGGATGATGGGTTCCCCGGAGCCCTCAGCTACCTTCTTCTGTAATTCCTCCATTTTGGCCATCATGGCCTCGTATTTGAGGTCTGAATGAGGGGTGGAGGTGGTGGCGTGAGCTTTGTCGGCCTCCATTTCATCAAGTCGGCGTTGGAGGGCCGCAATAATTTCGTCCCGGGGGTCCTTCGAGAGGGTCTCCGCCCCCTGCGAACGAACCCGGGCCGAGTGGGCCTGGTTGATCAGGTGGCGAGCATCGTCGGCATGAAGGGGTGCCTTGCCTTTGTCCCGAGGGGGACGCTCCTCGTCTGCCCTCGAGACAGACCCTCCGCTTTCTTGGGGCCTTTGGAGCGCCTTTCCTCCGAGGTGGTCTTGGACCCCTCGGCGGTCTTGCCCCCCTCCGAGCCGGTTGAGGGCGGAAGTGCGGGGCCTTTCTCTGTTGTCATTGTGGCAGTCCCGGGACTGAACTTCCTGGGAGGCCATGTCTTGGGCCACTACCCCTTCGTCATTCCTAACCCGAGGGATGGGGTTTCCGAAGGGGTGTGGCAGAGGGGGAAGTACGATGTTCTCCCCAACCTGGGGTTGAGCCGGAGCCAGGGTGCCGAAGGCACCCGGGTTCTGAGTTAGCGTCTGGATGAAGGCGGAGAGTGCCGAATGAACGTCGATGGTGAGGACCGGAAGGCTGACTTGGTCATCGCTCCGGTTTTTCTTCTTGGCCTCGATGCCGAGGCGGGCATCGGGGGCATTCTGCTGGATCTGAAGGCGTAGGTCGACAGCCGCCTGTTCCAGCCCAGCGATGACACCGCCCTCGGGAGCCTTGTGAGAGGCTTCGGGGGCGTTGACGTCGCCGAGGGCCAGGTTCTTGTCTTCTACGTTTTTGGAGTTGGCACGTGTTGTTCTCACCATTTTTGTAGAGGGCTAGTGTTTGGCGAAAGGGGAGGGTTTCTTACTTGATCGTTCGACCTCTCAACGAGAGCACCAAATGATGGATAGTATACCCGGGGGTAGCTTATCCGAGGGGATATTGCGGAGAATAACTAGAGAGAAGTCAGAGCAAATAAGTAAGAGAGAGAGTGTATATTCGATATGTATTAAGCGTCGTTTACAATGAGGGAAAGGGGTGCTATTTATAGTAGTAATAAATGCTAGATAAGGACACGTGTCAGTTTTCTGGTGGTCGAGGGGTCACCTCGACCGGGGTGGCACTGGCACTCGCATGTGGCCGCATTAAATGCGGTGGTTGGATGTGACGTTTGTACTTGGTACGGTGATCCAGGCGCATGTGAAGAGGATATTCTGTCGAGGTGGATGCCTTCGGCTGAAGGGTGCTGGGCCGAAGGCTCTTCTAACCGAGGGCTCCTACCTGCCGAGGGCTGCAGGTGCCGAAGGCTTGGTTTTCAAGCCTTGTTCTCCTGTGATGCCTCTTCTAACCGAGGGCTCCTACCTGCCGAGGGCTGCCGGTGCCGAAGGCTTGGTTTTCAAGCCTTGTTCTCTTATGATGCCTCTTCTAACCGAGGGCTCCTACCTGCCGAGGGCTGCAGTTGCCGAAGGCTTGGTTTTCAAGCCTTGTTCTCCTGTGATGTTTCTGAGCTCGATTCCGTCACTGGTAGCCTTCGGTCATGGGGTCGAAGGCATCCCTTTGCGTATTGTGGGCTGCTTAGAGCTCCATTTTTCTGGGCTTGGCCCGTTTGGGCCTGTTGAGCCTGATTGTAGTAGAGGAAGTATGTGGGCCGGGGGTCCCTGGGCCATATACTCCATCACTAGTATACTAACATAATTAGTTGTATTTTCTAAGGATGAGAATTCATATTTAAAACATTTTTATTCATATTTACTTATTTGAGCTATTTCTTTAATTAATACTCCTTCATTATTTAAAATTTGTTACACTTTCTTATTTAGGATGTATTTAAAAATTTGTTACACTTTTCATTTTTGGTAAGTTTTTCGCTTAAAAATATATATTTACCCCTTATTTTTTTGTGTTTTTTATAGTGTCAAGACAATGTAATTATGTTTTTTAAATAAATACTCCGTATGGGGGGGAAGTACTCTCTATTAAGAGTAAAGTTTCATCGGTGCATAGAAGTGTGGACGTTGCATACTAAAAATATAAGAGCAAAGCGCCAACGAACATTAATACGCTCCCGTAAGGTGTGTAACACCGAACACTAATTTTCCTTGTTTTGTTATCCCAAAAACTTTGTCATTCCTTTTTAATCAATCAATTTATGGCTCATGCATATTATTTCTCTTTCCTCTGCACTAATCTCTACTACACAAGTTTTACTTTATTATTTTACGTGTCAGTCAAACTTGACAATCTTTTTAGGGACGGAGGAAGTACTTGTTTTTCACTCTTCAACTTCTTTCTTCCCCGTCTTATGCTTATCCAAACACGGCATTAGTTAATGCTTTTATAAGCCGTAACACCTGAAAACTTTCACCTATAAACAACGGTGGCTGCGGTTTCATTAAGCGAATTGACACGTAAAACATTAAACAATGTACTTTCCCACCCCACTTTTTTTTAAATATTACGATTCCTATGCTATGTGAATATGCGATGGAAATCAATTATTCCAATTATCAACCGTACATACTTTCTTTAGGAAATAAAATGGGAAATATCTTTACGACAATACAAAAAAAGATTCAACAAAATTATGAATTCCACCGAGTGTTATCATTCTTTTTACAACGTAGAGCCCGTTTGATAACACTAAAATTGACTGAATTGGGTGATTCTGTTGAAATTTATGAAGTTCTGGCTGAAGTGGTTGTATTGGCTGATTCTGCTGATTCATGAAAACATTATATTTAAAATATTTGTTATCAATAAATTAAATAAAAAATTATATGAAAAAAATAGCTAAAATGATCATCTACAATAACTTCAGCCAAAACAGCCAGAAAAGTAACTCAAATCTTACTTTTTCGGCTTATTACAAACTTCAGCGCGCGAAATAAAAAATTACGTGTTTGGTGAAAAGTTGGCTGATAAGTCTGATAAGTCAAAAACGAATCACCAAACGGGCTCGTAAACTTCTTTTTCACTTCAATAAAAGTATGTAATTAATATTGCATATCTTTCTCTACAAGTTTCAAATTCTATCAATCTTCACCTTTTAAGTTTTTGTGTCACATCAAAACACGAAATAATATTATATTGAAACATATTACAAAAATAAACACATTTATAAGTGAAATGTAATTTTCTGGTCTTTTCTAGTTCAGAATATAATCTCAAGTGGTCTAGTTTAGTACTCTCTTCCACTATTATTGTCTCACCTCATATTCACTTGGTCAACACAATTCTCTCTTAATTTTTTATTTTATATATCAATTTTTTATCAAATTTGGTTCTGGGTTTTGAGACTTTGTAAAGCTTTTTGTGTAGTATTTGAATATATATTTTTTCCTAAAAATAATTTGAGTGCGGAAAGGAATCTGTTTGTTTTATCATCGATCAAGCATCGTAAACCTTAACGGGGTCATAATAGTGGGACGGATGGAGTAGAAATCTATTCTATGTGTATTTTAATTTGCTACTATCGAAGTTTGATATGATATGATCTGATATGATTTTTTGTTGTCTATTTAAGGCTGATTTGATCTTGTCTCAAACTCAAATCAGTTGAATGTTTGAAAATTACATAGATCGAGTAATAATAGACTAATAGTAGCTCGTTCTTGAGTTCCTATTAAGATCGATCTAATTAATCATTGAAATTTAATTAGTTTTGATATCATATTAAAATTTGAAGTTGAAATAATACACAAGTTTGTATGTTAATTTGACAATAGTTTTTCTTTACTCATACCCAAAACAAGCAAAGGATAATATCAAACCCCACGTCCCCACTCTAATTGCGGACCCCACCAATCCCCGGAAAACCAATGAGTTTTTTAGCATTAGATTCATCTCCCCACTTCTAATAACCCCCCAATGTCTGATCGATCTCCTCTGGCCTTCAACCTGATAAGCTCTTTGATCGATATTCTGATAACCCCCCAATGGAGAACTGTGACTTACCTCCGCCGCGGAATGTGTTTTCCGGCACGGCGGCGTCACTGGAAGGTGGAAGACGTTGGGGAAATGAGGAGGTAGACATCCTGCTCGAAGCACTAAGGTTGTCTCAGACTCGGGCAAGAGTGGCAGAGAGGAGATACCAACTCATATGCAAGGAAAGAGATTCTCTCTCGAATCTACTCCTGGAAGATTCTCTCAGGTTGCTTGCTTGCCAGAACTCGATCAGGTTGCTTGAGCTTCAAGCTTCACAGATGGAAGATGACCAAAACAAGTACAAGACTGCTGATAATAGTGTCTCTGCCTTAACATGGTTCATGGCAAAGGCTCTTTGTGTGGGAATAGCTGGGGTTACCCTTGCATTTGGTTCCATTTTCTTCTTTTTGACTTAGGCTTATACTTGAGTTTCAGCTTATAGGCCTATATATTTAGTCCACCACTTAGTAGGGTTGATCTTCAACTTTCTTTAGCATTTAATTCCATTATCCATCTTGTCTTAACCCCTCTATTTAAGCTCATACCAAGTTCTTAAATTACTAGTCTTTACCTTCTACAATGAAATCCTAAGATTTAATGTGAAACGGCTGATTGAATTTCATTCTTCAATAATCGTCTAGTAACAGAATTAATAAAAGTAAAATTCCGCCTATAAAATTCACATTTGTAAGGAAATCTAAGTCTTAAAATGAGTATTATATTCTTTGGACATATAAAATTGTGGCGTAGTGTATTGTGTCATTTGTGTGTCAAATGCAAATCAACCTTCTTTCTTTCATGTGTGAAGTACTATGTATCACTTAAGATAACAAATTTTTTTGTAACAGTGGAATGAGCTTTTGTTTTGGTTGTACTAGGCCTGTCAATAAGTTTCGTTTAGACACACCTAGTGACTAGGCCTATCAAATACATATCTAGTGACTACTTCATAACACATCTTTTTTATTCAAAAAACTAACATTTATTTTTTCCAATTATTTTATTTTAACGAGAAATGTAATTAATTTTGTTACAGCACTTGATTTTATTTTAGCAAAGCTGTGTAACTATTATGTCTCTATTGATTTTCTTGATTTCTTAAGCCAAGGTTGTTTCTTCACGGCTCTCCAGTTTAATTTTTAAACTTTTGAATGTTTTGCTACCTCAAAGTTTTGTTTCAAGGAAAATTTGTTGCCTAACTTAAGCATCTAGGATTTATTTTTAAAAAAAATTATGTCTCAAGCTAGCTCTTAATTTTATTTATATCTTTTCGATCCCTATATGATTCAATTCAGATGTAGATATAATTTCTCGGGAATTAGTAATAATGTTAACTCCATATCAAACAAGTCCACTTGATCTATTTACGAGACACATTGGGTCTAGATCTGAACAATATTCTACCCCCAAATATACAAATTAGGCTTGAAGCTTTAAATCAACTAGCGGGTTTGAATCTGGAACGTTATATTCAGGGGCAGATAGGGATTCTGGGATGTCAAGGACTAAATGGCAATTATATTAGACTTAAACATTAGTACAGTGGACAAAATATGAAAATTTGAAAATGTTGCACTAAAAAATCGAAATGAAATTAGATTACTTTATGCTTCAGCCTACCATAGCACATACATAGATCCTTCCCTAACCTGACTATATTTCGATCCAACCATTATCCATTCACATGCCAATTGTAATTACATCTCATGTATATTTGAGATACATAGAGCCCGTTTGGTAGCACGAAAATCGACTGTTTTGGCTGATTTTGCTGAAATTAATGAAGTTCTGGTTGAAGTGGTTGCTTCGGCTGTTTCTGCTGATTTAAGTAAAAATTATTTTTAAAATATATTTTATTAATAAAATAAAGAAAAAATTATATGAAAAAATAGTTAAAATGATCATCTACATTAACTTCAGCCAATACAGCCAAAAAAGTAACTCTAACCTTACTTTTTCTACTTATTATAGTAGTACAATTCAGCGCGCAAAAGTAAAAATTACGTGTTTGGTGAAAAAGATGGCTGATAAGACTGATAAGCCGGGAAAAAATGTTACCAAACAGCCTCATAGTCAGGAATCAAATCGACACTTATGACAAAAATATGTCTATTTTTAGAATAATTATCATATATGAAGACCAAATTGGGTCCAATTAAATGGGGGCTGATATTACACCCGAAAGAAAATTAAAATTAAAGATCTAATTGAGTCGTAAATTATGGAAGTAGTGTGAATCACGTATTGACTATATTATACGTAGTATACACATTTTATCACAATCACTAGTTCACTATGAACCTGGGGAAAATGACCTAATCTACTCCGTAATTAATTACTTTCTCAACAAAACTAAGACCATAGAAGCACCCACGTATCTAACTACTAATGATGTGAATACTGCTTAAAATCGAAAATGATGAAAATGATGATGATGACCACGACATACGCCTAATAATGCCGTAAGGATAATTATATTAGAAACATATTTATATACACAAGAGAAGCAGATATGTATTTATATAAACAGTGGTTGTTAATATAGCCCATTCAAGTGTTTTACTTATCCAATGGCCAAATGAACAACCCTCAAATGGCTATAGCAGTCATCACTGGTTTCAAAACCCTCCAAGCAAACCCAACAAACATGTTTCCCACACCGGCACTCAATGTGGTTGCACCCTTCCACCTTCTCGATCGTACACAGGCAAGCCGGACACTGCTTTACATTCTCTTTCCCCTCCGACCACTCCTTCAACGATAAGTCAGGGTCGTCTTTAAAGTCCCTATACTTCTCGCACGAGAGGTAGGGATGATACTCGAGGTGGCATCTGGTGCAAGTCTCTGCATAACATGCCCCACATACGAATGCTGAATCTGTTCCTACACGGTACACGGAAGGACAGTCCGGAGACGGGCAAAACCGGTAACATGGGTTTGCTGCCACGTATGCACCCAAAGATGCACGGAAAAGATCTTCCAACTTCTCAACCGTCAACAGAGACTTGAGATCCGAGAGGATGATAGAGGACCCACAACCCTTATGCAGACATCTCAACGGGAAACCATCTCTGCTTCTGATTGCAGACTCACACTGCTCAACCAAACACAAACGACAGAAGACATGGAGACAGGATTCAAGCTTGTAACTGTCGTCTACCTCACACAAGCAGATTGGGCAGCTCGTTCCGTCATCGTTCCTTTGAATATGTACACCGCTCTCCTGAGCAATCTCATATATAGCATCTTCAACTCTTTGCTTCAGATCTTTGGCAGTGCCTTTTACGTAAATGCAGTGGTGTCTACTGTTGAGAGAGAAATTTCCGTCGGGGAACATCTCTTTGAGACCGTTAAGATTGGGCCCACACTTCTGGACCACTCGCTTCATTAAATCAGAAGGCAAGGATTCTCCACGAAGATGAACAATGAGCTGTTTGCTTTCATGTAACGCGAGGAGTGAATCGACAAACTTATGATGTGCCATGTCAACCTTGTGTGGGGAACCGAAGACTCTCACTTTAAGGTTATGCTTGTCAAAAATAAAGTAGGTCCCAGTGTCCCGTTGAAGTGACTTCATAAGACAGATGCCTTCCCAAGAGAATAGATGTTGGAGGACTGTGGGGGTAACACTCGCATGCTCTATCACCTTTCCTTTCATAAGCTCCTCCAATGGTTTTCTAACTTCTGCAACAACTTTAGTAGCATTCGCAGATACCTTAACTCTGTATGAACCACTATCATGTCGATCGAGGCTGCATTCAACACCTAAACAAAGAAGAAAAAATTATGGTTAGCTTTCAACTGCCATAGCCACTCATTTGATGCCAATAGATACACACACATGGTCCTTACTACCACCACTATATATTGTGTTAAATCCAAGAAACCTATGCCAAGTGATCTTCACACAATAATCAAGTAACCATAGAAGGAATGCTAAATGGATACCCAATATCCTTCAGTAAAGCTATATACGGAGTAGGACATTTAAGGTTCAATCAATTCATGAATACACAACTTCTAGTTTTATTTCTGATGGACACCAACGAGTTTGAAGGCATTCAAGTATCTTGGCAACAAAGTTCCTGATTCATTTAGCTTGACAACCATGAAAGAAAAGAAAAGAAGACAAAATTTACCAAATTCTGTGAGGTTAAGAGGAGCAACTTATTTGATTATAGAATCCATCATGACCCTATGGCACCTTTAACCAAAGAAATTACAATGCCTGGTTAGATGTGAGTGGAGAATAGATCTTGATCATGAAGTATTAAGATCTATTGTCTACTCACCTGTAATCAAGCATTGTAATTTCATTGGTTAAACTATTTGCATCCCAGAATGAACACCCCTCAACCTGCCTTCTTCCTCGAATAAACCTCCCTTTTCAGATCCACGATTGGGATAACTGTTTGGAACATGCTTGTCACGGCATCGCCTAGGCATCGCCTAGTCCTGGCGCTAGGGACTGTCCGTCAGCTTCACTCGCCTCGCCAGATGAAGAGTAGTCGTGAACGGCGTCGTCTAGGCGCTGTTTACCGACGGCGCAGGCCCAGAACCCAAATAAAAATAGATTTAGTCTTTAATTAAAAGCAAGCCCATAGTAATCTACCTTACCGACGATTTGTTGCCCAAAGTCGTATAGCCAAACCAAGTCCCTCGCTCACGGAAGACGAACTCGCAGGAAGCTGACGAACAACTCCACGAAGAAGAAGAACTCGCAGGTATCGCCCTCCTTCAGTTCCTTGCTAGCGGAAGCAGGGTAGCAGACGACTTCCCAGTTCCCAGTCCCCGATCTCTTCTTCTTGGCTTCATTTTTTTCTTATTTTAATTAATTAAGTTGTGTGTGTGTGTATTGAAAGGGTGTAGTTATATATATATCTATCAATATATGTGTATTCCCAGCCCGTGAGACTTCTATTTTATTACTACCTCCGTCCCGCTAACAATGGGACAAGGAGTGGCACGCAAATTAATAAAAAGTGTTTTATGTGGTTGATATTAAATTGATAAAGTAAGAATAAAGTAAGAATTACTTAGAGCCGCACAAATTTTACCAAATTTGGTATGTGACAATCTTAGTGGGACGGACCGATAAGGTAAAATGGGACAATCATAGCGGGACGGAGGTAGTATATGTTATAAATTATAAAATAATAAACTATTAAAATAATCATAAAAACTAGTACATACTAATATATACTACGTATGATATACATATTTTGCATAGTTTAATTATATATATATGATTATATACTCCGTATATAATTATATATATATATAAATATATAATTATATATATAATATATTATTCATGTATAGGTGACTAGTCGCCTAATATTCGCCTAGGCGGGCGCCTTATCGCTAGGCAATACGGCGGTCGGCTGGCGCCGCGACTCGACTTACCCCCGTGACAAGTATGGTTTGGAAGGAGATGCAATGGAGACAGAGGCTGGGGCACATTTTCAACATTGGGAGAGAGAGAGAGAGAGAGAGAGAGAGAGAGAGAGAGAGAGAGAGAGAGAGAACACCCTAAAGTGACTTTCAGCAAATGCGATTAAATACAGAAGGAAAGGGAAAGAAGATTAATAGAGATTTTAAGTAAAAAGTAAGTGTAATAGTGTAAATGTGTACTGAGGAGATCTCTCTTAAGCTTGGTGAGCACTTGGACCGCTTGGTGCAAAAGGCAGCAACTATAGGACAATGCGAGTATTATTTTTTAAAGAATGTCCTATCAGTATCATTTTTTACTAAAAATTATCATTGCACTATAACCAAGTGGCACCATATGTCAAGCAGCATGTAAATGTCTTTATAATTATACGGAGTAATTAAATATAAAGTGGCTACAGTAGAAAGAGAAAACAGTTGTGATGTCATAAATACCTTTACGCTTCTTGAATCTAGCAAGTAAAGCATCCAGCTCCATCTTAATGACACGGTACACTGATGCATAACATGATAGTGTAGTCCGAAACATTTGTTGGCATTTTATCTTCTGCCATGAGAGACATCCAGGCAAGACTTTCCCGTCAATTTGTTCCAATGCCTTCGCAGCTTCTAGATGAAGATTTCCATCAAATGTGATGGTTGCTCTCATGTAAGTATCTTTCGGTTCAGGTTGGAAGACCTGGACACGAAGAGAGTTGCCATGGGGACCCCTCTTAGGCATCAAGGAGGATAGTTCTCTCAAAAGAGCTTCCTCAAGAGCATCTAGTGAAGGATGTTCTACTGCATCTCCTCTAATGAGGAACACATCTGAAATCTTCCTGTGTGTCAATACACTCAACTCTTCAAAGATTTCAGCTTCAGAATCCTCTTTACCAACTCCAGTAAGAACTATGCTGTTAGGGCATTTTTTGCTTCGCTCACAATGAACATGCCTTCCTCTTATTATAAAATCGGATGAGAAGTCACCAACCATAAAAGTGACATCCCTGGGGTCACATTTAACAATAACTGTCCCTCTACTTTTCCTACGAGGCCAATAAATTTTTGCTTTGAGCAAAGGAGATGAGAACAACTTTTGATCACCACCATGCGTTATCTTGGAAGGAACTAATTTTAGCATCCCGTCACTAAATTCAACCAAATTTAATGCGGTAGCCATGTTAGCAGCTTCAGGGGTGACAAATGTTACCCTACCCCATTGTTCCTTCTCCTCAATGTCATGACTTGAGCCTGAAAACTTGTGCACCGCACCTATGTCACCACAGTTCCTCTCCAAAAACATCAACAATTCCTTATCATCAATTGCATTAACATTTGAATGATATATGTCCACAGTCAAACATCTCTTATCCAGCTCCAAATGCTTTATTTCTGCACCAGCTCCAAAAAGAGCAAAAGAAGCTGAAAATGTAGATCCTCCCATGTGAGTGCATTTCTCCAAACATTCATTTTTCAACATTTTTTGCTCATGTTGCAATACTTGATTCACAGTCATTAAAACTTCATCCATATCTCCAGATGAAGCATATAATGTAATCTCATTGTGATCAACACTCACCTCAATGCCAATGCGTTCATCCATACATGATGTTCTGATTCGCGAGACGAGATTGTTGAGACAACAATTAGATTTCCCACAGAACCTCTTCAGCAGCATGCTTCCGGACCCCGCCAAAACCTTCTTCTGCAGCTTTTGGGCATCCATCTTCAAAAAGTCAAACGATGGAGGAGGAGAAAGTGCATATAGAGCGGTGAAGTCAAATGCGGTAGCACAAACCAGATATTCTTTAGCAGCTACCAAAATCTCACCAAACACAATCCAACTCGGTCTTTCACAGAAATTCAACAATGAACATGAAGGGTGCAGTTGAAAATGCTTCCCAGTAAGCGCCACCTGATAACCAAGTCGGTCATAACCAGAGTACATCGCCACATTCTCAGAGTGTGATGAAAGGATTATCCTTTTCAAAGTGTCATCATGTTCAGAATTCATTTGGGGATTCCAGCGCCAGTAACTCGGAATGATGATTCTCAGTTCATTCTGAAGGCATGTTTCCAATTCTTGAAGAGTTTCCTGGCATCTCCTCATGGTTTTTCCATTGATGCTATTATCCCAGCACCACCTATTTTTCTTTTCTTGAGGCAAGGCATCCCACTCCTTGTATACAGATAGAAATGTGAAAAGGTCACCAGAGGGATGGCAAAATTGCACCTTATTACAATCAGATTTTAGTTTTTCGACTTCAGTGCCAACTCTGCAGAAAATGCTGCTAGAATTTGTCATAACAGCGGCGAGAACAAGACCCTCTCTACCTAAACGGTTGCGGAAGCAACTAAGGAGTATTTTCCCTATTCGAGGCTCAATACCCAGCTTCACCAGAAGCCGTCCATCTGCAGTTATCTGGTAACCATCATCAATTTGAGTGATACATCCTAACAGAATCAGATTATGGAATGTCATCTCAATTGCTTCTGGGTTAGGTGCATCAATAAAATCAAATTTCTGGACATCTTTTATGCCCAAGGCAAGAATCCTCAATAATGCAATACCAAGGTGAACCTTGCGGATTTCTGGTTCTTCATGATAAGGCATACTCTCAAAATCAGTTTCTGAGAAGAGTCTGTAACACTTTCCAGGTTCGGTTCTCCCAGCTCGCCCAGCTCGCTGATTTGCGGAACTTCGACTAATCATACAAACCCTCAAAATATTCATGCCATTCCCAGGTTCAAACCATTTTTGTTTCACCAGACCAGAATCAACAACATATTTGACGCCCGGAATGGTCAAAGATGTCTCAGCAATGTTTGTAGCAAATATGACCTTTCTCTTTCCTGGAAAATCAAAAAAGACTCGATTTTGGTCTTCACTGGACAGTTTTCCATGTAAAGGTAGTGTGATGACAGTTGGCAACTGGATCTTCTCACAAGCCCATTCTACTTCCACTTGAGAAGTCAAAAATGCAAGTATCGTTCCATCTCCCTCTGTGTTGTGGATCTCAAGCACCATCGTGACAACATTAGAAGCGTAAGAAGGAGATGAACCAGAAAAACCTTCAGAGTAGTCGCAAGGGACATATTTAATGTCAACCGGAAAGGTTCTTCCAACAACATGAAATGATCCACATCCGTAGAAGTAGTTTGCAAGCTGAATTGCATCAGCTGTAGCAGACATGATGATGAGCCTCATATCACGCCTCAGTTCAAGCAAATTCTTTATCAATGCTAGAAGAAGATCAGTGTTTAGGCTTCTTTCATGCGCTTCATCAACTATAATGCATGATATCTTTGATAAATTACTATCACTCATATACTGCTGGAGTAGGCAATGATCCGTCATAAAGATCACCTTTGAATCAAACTGATGGCTAGATGAATATGATTGATAGCAAATAACTGAATTATTATCTTCATAACACCCAAGACTTTCTTGCTTAACCCTACTTGACAAGGAGGCAGCAGCAAGTTTTCTGGGCTGAGTGCAGACTATTGCATCATTACCACCAATTCCTGAATCAGCAAGGAACTGTACCAACTGAGTGCTCTTTCCTGAACCTGTCTCACCAGTCAAAATAGTAACCTACACAAATAACATCTGTTTCAGTTTGGGGAAAAAATGTGATTGGAATGATTGTATGTACATACAAAATCAACATCATCGAACCTAAAGGCAGATTTCTATTGTTACACATATTGTTGTTGTTGTTGTTTGTAGTCTTGTAGAGCAATATTAATATTTCAAAGAATCTCTGTGATGATGCTTGCTTGTAATATCAAGTGTGAAAATAACACTTTCTTAAGAGGCAGGCATACATGAACACATAAATAGATCCTACACACTTAAAATTATATGTTCTGCTGCAACAAATGTGATGTCCAAACCAGCTTCACTTCCAACTGCAACTACCACTATATGGAAATTGACCGCCTAAGCCATTTGACATTATCACAAGAAACAAAGAGAACCTGGAGAATCGATTGAATATGTATGTGTACTCACTACATTCGAAAAAACCATTAGACATGACAGGACAAGTTGGGTATCAGAGTTCAAATATTAAGAACCATATAGGTGGCCTTTTAGAAAGCATATAGTACAGCTATCCAACATATATTGACTATTTCCAAGCATCAACCCCCTCTAACAAGTTTTACTGCTTGAAAATAAAATGCCCAGAACAAAAGGCAAAAAAACTCTTATTGCAATATTGGGGGTATAAAGAAAAGGGCCTTCACTATATTCACAAAATGGTGAATATATTGTTGAAAATATAAAAATAAAAGCTACAATAATTCGTAGTACTACAATAAACATAAAATGAAGTAGCAAAGACAATTAGTCACCTGGTGGCAAAATACTTGACTGAGAATCTCTTTCCTGAATGAAAAAATGGGCAAGCCATCCTCTAGCCTTTTACACTCCCTCTTTACTATATGATGAATCTGGTCCCAATCCGGATTTCTGTTGAGCTTAAAAAGACTTATGTGCACCTCAGAATCACCCTCCTCTATCTCCCCCTTCAAATGAAGCATGATACACGTAACCCCATTCTTAAACTCCTTAATCCTTTTACTTATCAAATCCCGCTCCCCCATCAAGACTTCTTTCTTCTTTAAGAGATTAGCTGAATGACCCAGACGATTTAGTTTCCCGAGCTGAATAGTCAATTTACTTATCTCGTCTAGTACTAGAATCAACTTCTTCCGACACTTCTGCACTAGTTCCCCTTCCATTAATGCCTCAAGTTTCTCCAGGAAAACCTCTTTGAGCCTATCATTCAACTCAAGCTTGTCCGAAGGCACCACTACATTCTGCTCCAGAAACGGCGTCACAGAACACCCTCCTTCGAGCCGTAGTCTCCACAAGTGCACAATTACCTCGAGGGCCCCTGACCACTGCTCGTAGAACAGTTTCCCGGAAAAGGCCCTACTGCCCTCAGAGAAGAATGAACTCTGCGGCCGCTCCGGCAATACCTCAATAAGCCTCTCGAATTCAGACCTCGCCAGGGTATGATCTCGCGAACGAAGGTGGATTATAAAATTTGGCGGCTTCGGAGAAGGCCTCGACTCCGGAGTACGAAAACGGTGGTTGCTGGGAGGGTGGCTCCACTGCTGCCGGTACGGCAACCGTTGTTGATTGTAGTAACTGCCTGGCGCGCAACCAGACTTCCGGGCCGGGTAGAGCGGCGGCCCGGCGGGAGCTGGTTCTTGTCTATGCATCGTAGGATCAGGGTTTTCTAGAGAGATGAATCAATTTGGAGAGAAATCATACGTAATACTCCGTACAAATATTACGCATAAAATCTGGATTACGGTTATGAAATTGGAGGGTTGGGCTATAAATCAGTAGCCACGGAAGTACACCTAATTTATTTAGTACGGAGTAATGCAGTAGGGTTGGGCTGTATATGTACATACTTCCCCCACCCACTCATAAAGTTTCTCTTATTAAATTTCACATTTTTTCCAAAAAATTCTCCCAATTTTCGTTTCTGGAATGGTTTGTGTGACTAATTTTCTTTTACATTTTTCTTACTCAATCACAATCATACATTTCCATTTTATTCTCATTTTATTAAACTCTAATCCAAGTCAAACCGGGAAGAATTTTCTGAGACGGAGGGAGTATATTTTAAATATAAAGTCTTGGTTGATAATTTAATCATCAAATATTAAAAATATTATATCTAAAACATTAAAGTTATTATCAATGACCTCATTATAATATATACTCATTAAAACTATTTTAATCAAAATAAATTTGAATAGTCTTATTCAATTATTGTCTAAATAATCATGTAATTTTATGATGTGAAATTTTAAACGGAATGAAAGTAGTGTATAGTAAAGATCTTCTCAAGGGGCAGTATAAAAGTTTGATGCAAAAATCTTAAAAGTAAAAAAACATATACTTAGTATTTACCGAGAAAAGTAAAAGTATGATTGGAACTGAGGAAGTCAATGTATTGCTCGTGACAAATTTCATTTAAACTTTGACCCACTATCTGACTGACCGGTAGATTACATAATCAATTGTATGATATTACGAAAAAATAGCATTTCATTAATACACAAGGTTGAATATCGGTCTAAAGTCGAGTCGATCTAGAACGGAAAAAGAATTTCAAAAAGTGTTGAATTGTGTATAATTTTGGTTAGAGGTTAAACATATGAGGCCTGTATTTGATCATAGTTATTTTTAGGGATAGACTCCCTTCGTCCCAGAATTAACTTTCCACATTCCTTTTCGGGCAGTCCTGAAATTTTCTCCCCACTTCCTATTTGGCAAATTATCTACATCAAAACAGTGGAAAATAGTGTCAAAATAGGAAAATTTACCCCCTAGTGAATTTGTTTCCTTAATATATGTGAAATCCAAATGGGAAGTTAATTCAAAGAGGGGGAGAGTATTTATTTATCAAATACAGGCCTCATCGCAGACACAAACACATAAGTGGTCAAGTATATGAAATTGTACGGATATCGTATGTTCATATAAAGTCTTGAATCAAATATAGACAAATATTATAAATATTGTAAAATGTGTTTCTACGGATTAAATAATCACTAAATATTATAAAACTTGTTTTAAACATTATCTAAAGGGAAAAATAATTTAAATATCCTAAACTTATACATGTAATATATACCCCAAACTTCATATAAAAAGTTATATTAACACCATGATCATATATGTTTTTACAAGTATAATTTTATGATATTAATTACTCCGTACATAATTGAAAATACACAAAATATTAATGAGGGTGCAATTAAAAATAAATTGTATCGGATGTGATATTTCACAAATGAAATTTTAGATTGTAAACTGCATTCTAACAAAGATTAGAATATTTTAAATTATGTAACAATCCAAATAAATTTATATTTGTGAAAAACATACAAAAACAGTGCGAAAATAACTTTTTATATATAGTTTGGGGTATATATATTACATGTGCAAGCTTGAGGTACTTATTTCATGCCCCAATAAAGTTTGGGGTAATTAAATTACATTCCCCTTATATAATCATTACAAACGAATTAACATTATAATTACTAACTTCAGTCATATAGTTCTAGTTAAATTTTGGAATGTACATGATATTTTAACATTATCTAATACATAAATAAACACATATTCATCGAGGAGATTTACGATTTAGAAACAAAATTCAAATACAATAAAAATTTCACACTAAAAATCAAAGAATAAACAAAAACATGTGTCTATCAAGAAAATTAAAAGTATGGTTTTTTAAACCTGGGAAAGATATATATTGTTCTCATCGAGTCTTATTTAAATAGTAACCGACTATTTGAGTAGCCGGTAGATAACATATATAATCAACAGTTTAGTAATACTAGCAATAGTATTTCATTTATACTACAAGTTTAATATCCGTCCAAAATTGAAGTTGGTCTAAAACGGAACAAGAATTATTATGTTGAATTGAGGAATCAATTAGTAGTAATGGTACTATGAGCTTAACTCATACCACAAACATGAATTAAGTATCTTAATGGTTCAGCCTAAATGATAATACGGGCGAAGTATGAATGGACCGGGGTTGTCCAACAAAAGTAGAAGTGTGAATGGAATTGAGGAAGTCCATGTATTGTCTGTGACAAATTTTATTAAAAACCTGACCCACTATCTGAGTGATCGGTAGATTATATAATCAACAGTATAATATTACGAGAAATTAATATTTCATTAATACTTAAGATTGGATATCAGTCTAAAGTCGAAGTCGGTCTTGAAGGGAACAAGAATTTCAAAAAGTGTTGAATTGAGTATAATTTTGGTTAAAGACTAAATCTGATGCCGGTATTTGATCATAGTTATTTTTAGGGATATATTTATTTATCAAATACCGGCAATAGATTTATATATATATATATATATATATATATATATATATATATATATATATATATATATATATATATATATATATATATATATATATATATGATGGAGTATATGGGTCTAGGCCCCAGGACCCACATACTCAGAAGAACAGAAGGTACCACGATCACCGGGTGACCTCGTCAGTCATGCTCTCATCGGCCATGCTCTCATCGGCCATGCCCTCATCGGCCAGGAAAAGATCTACTCAGAATATGATCCAGAAGCCCGGAGAACCGGGTGCCCTCATCGGCCATGCCCTCATCGGCCATGCCCTCATCGGCCATGCCCTCATCGGCCATGCCCTCGTCATCCATAGATAGCCTCTAGAACGGGATTTTATACTTATCATTTCTATACACTTTGTATCCGGCCCATTAGTGGCCCTATTGTAAATGGGCCTCCCAAGCCCAAGACTTGGGAGCCCAGCCCTAATTTTCTCTATAAATACTCCCCTTGGGAGTAGTTGTAAGGGTTCAGAATTCACTAATACAAAGCAAATATACTACTTCTCTCTCTAGCTCTCACTTCTCTCTAGAATCTAGGAGTTAATACTCCATCATTTGGTGCTCTCGTTGAGAGCTAAAACAATCAAGTTAGCATCCTTCGTCGCTACCAAGCACAGCTAACCACTGATCATGGGAAGAACTAGGTCAAACCGCAACCTCGTCAGCAAGGCCATCCCTGAGGATCAGGAGAACAGGGAACACGAGGAGGACGCCACGGCCGACAAGGCCGCTGAGGGGGATGTCTTCCAGGAAGCCATCGACCTCGCAGGTGACCTGCGCAACAAGCTCAACGGCGGCGCCCCTGACGCCCGCATCGGCTTGGACAAGAAGCGTGCAGAGAAAGGTGACAATGCCTCGGCGCAACCGGCCTCTCCTGCCGTTGACCCTCAGCTTCAGGCCGCGCTCTCGGCCATCATCGCCAGCTTGGCCCAGAACCCCACCGTCCTCAGCGCACTCATGCCAAGGACTGGGGAGAACACTACACCGCCTCCTCAGCCCCAGCCGTTGGCCATCAGGCTGGGCAACGACGAAGGGGTGGTGCCCCAGGACACGTCGTCATCCCACTCCTACCCTGCTTCCCCACTTCGAGCTGGACCGGCCCCAGCGCGTGGAAAAGCCTCAGCCTTTAATAGGCTAGGTGACACGCGTCGTCGGCCTGCTTCGGAGAGGATGGCAGGACGGATTGGTGAACGTGAGCCTGGCTCACCAAGGGAAAGCTTGGGGTCCGTATCCCGGACAGCGGATCAGCCCCGCCTCGACAAAGGCAAAGGAAAATTGCACGAGGACAATGCGCGTCATCGAATCAACACGACTCAAGAAGCTCGCGTGCGCAACCAGCAAGGTGCCACTACGGCCGCCAAGGGCCCTCGGGACGAGGTCATCGCCCGGCTGGAAAGGAGACTGGCCCAGATGGAGGCTAGACAAGCGGCCACCATCCCTACGGCCAACTCATCCGAGGGTCCAGGTTACCACGCGCTCATGCTTAAGGTCAGCGCCCTGGAGAGGGAGCTGGCCGACGGACGTGGTGACCCCATCATCCAAATCAGAACAAAAACTCCCTTCACCACGAGGGTGCTCTCGGCCCCAATACCCAAGAAGTACCGAGGGAATGCCATCAAGCCCTATGACGGCCGCTCTGACCCCCAGGAGCACTTCAGCCGTTATCAAAACAACATGCTGATGGTGAACGCATAAGATGACTACCTCTGCCGTTGGTTCCTTTCCACTCTTGAAGGGCCAGCATACGAGTGGTTCAACACGCTCCCCGAAGGAAGCATAGATTCGTGGCAGGATCTTGCCCAACGCTTCCTCACCCACTTCGCCGGAAGGAAGCGCGTGAAAAAACATTTCTCCCACCTCCTCTCCATCAAGCAGCAACACGATGAATCACTTCGGTCTTTCATCGACCGATGGACGAAGGAGACAGACGAGGTCCAAGGTGCCGATGAGCGCACCCTCCTCGTCCTCTTCCAAGGTGTTCTCCGCAGCTGCCCCTATGCGAGGAGCCTCATCACTGACCCGCCAAGGTCATACACCAAGGCACTCCAACGAGGGAGCTTGTACGCTGACGACGATGAGCTCCACTCACGCAAGAAGGATGTAGGACAACCATCAAAGAGGTCAGACGAGGCGTTGGCTCCAAACGCATCCTCGGCCGGGGGCCATGCCCGCCGAAACCGGAAGGAGCGCCCATGGCAGCCGAGGACGGACGTCCCAAGGACTACGCTCACGCACTCGGTGGATACCATCTTCGACTATGCGGAGGAGCAAGGTCTCATCCCTAAAGATCCCCGGTCGGCCACTGAAGTCTACTCCGTCCACCAGGGTGGCACTTATTGTCGTTACCACAAGAACACCTCCCACAATACAGACGACTGCGTCGCGCTGAAGAAA